AGAGGAATTGAGGAATCCTGAGAGGTAAATTAAACATGACTGTGTACTGTTGGCTACAACCATGTCAGAGAAATTTTAAAAAGTTATGAAGGCCTGATCCTGTTTTTGCCTACAGTGCAGACTCACCCCCCACCCACCACCACTTGTTTGGGAGTCCAATGGTACCTTAAAAGGTAAAGGTAAAGGTTCCCTTTCTCGAAAGCCAGTCGAATCCGACTCTAGGGTTGCGGTGCTCATCTCCGTTTCAAAGCCAAAGAGCCAGCGCTGTCCGAAGACATTTCCGTGGTCATGTGGCTGGCATGACTAAACACCAAGGTGCACGGAACGCTGTTACCTTCCCACCGAAGTGGTACCTATTTATCTACTTGCAATTTCTTGCTTTCGAACTGCTAGGTTGGCAGGAGCTGGAACTAGAGACAGGAGCTCACTCCGTCATGCGGCACACTCGGGTCTTGAACTGCTGATCTACTGACCTTCCACAGCCTGCCGTTCAGCATCTTAACCACTTGAGCCACCACAGCTCCGTAATGGTACCTTAAAGACCACCAAAACTTTATTCAAAGTGTGAGCTTTTCTGTGCATGCACACTTTATTAGACAATGAAATGGAATTACATATCATAGCTGTATAGATAGGAATGCCATCTGTATGATAGCAAAAACTCTTCTGCTAGCACTTATGAACTGTTATAGAAATTTTATGGTATCTGAATGTTAGTATACTTTCATTTGTGTATGCCGCCCTGAACCTGCTTAGGTGGGAAGGGCGGGATACAAATTTGAATAAATAAATAAATAATGTCTCGTCAGCTTAGCATGCAAAATAATGAAGATTTTTTTTAACAGACCAACAGAGTGACCCAGCACACCAAAGCTCACACCTGGAATAAAACTTCGTTTGTCTTAAAGATGCCATTGGACTCTAACTTGGTTAAATAAAATGACTAAGAGTTTGGTGATGCGGCTCAGCACCAACAGAGTCCCTCCACCCCACCCCGCCTACCATGCAGCCATTAAGCAGCTAGCTTTTCACTTTCAGATGCCTCCAAGTGCCCATCATTATCCTACCAATATGCCTGCCATCTGCACTATTTTTGCCAACCTTGGTACATCCTAACAAGTCAAAAGACCATGTCTGTTTACTGTGACATTCGTCATGCACTTTAGGCAATTTGGGGAAAATCTGGGAACATCCAGTCTGGACCTTACATGGTAACTAGCTACTCCTTCATTACAAGTAATTACAGCAGGAAGGTGGAGAAGAAGCTGCAAACGCAGTGGTCACCAGAGGTGTATCTAACTTCACTCCTTTAATCTCTTGCTATCAGCTGGCCTGTTGGCATCTTATTCCCAGAAGTGCCTTTCATCCCAGCTCTTGTGCTCCATTTTGAACACGAATTTGGACAAAAGGTAGAGCAGCCTAGCTTATGCAGTCGGAAATGACATCATGAACACAGATGAGAACTAGGACTCTATTTCCCTCACTCATTCTCTCAGACACACACTCAGATAAAATATCACCAAGCCCATTCTTGTAATTCTTTTTTGCTTCTCTTCTTGTTTCTCCCTCCTCCTTCTGCCCTCAATGTTTCTTTGTGTCTCATTTTGGGGTTTTCCAATCTCATTGGATCAATAAATGTAATACCTGGATGGCATATGAGCAGCTGGGGCCACGGTGACTCAGAGGTTAAGAGACTGAGCTGCAGACCGGAAGGTCAGTAGTTCAGCAGTTCAAAATCCTAGTGCTGTGTGAGGGAATGAGCTCCCTTCTCTGGCCCCAGCTCTTGCCAACCTAGCAGTTCAAAAGCAAGAAATTGCAGGTATACAAATAGGTACTGCTTCGGTGGGAAGGTAGCAGTGTTCTGTGTGCCTCGACGTTTAGTCATGCTGGCCACATGACCACTGAAATGTCTTTGGATGGTGCTGACTCTTGGGCTTGGAAATGGAGATGAGCACTGCTCCCTAAAGTCAGATACGACTAGCTTTCAAGCAAGGGAAACCATTACCTTTTAGCTTTATGGTCACCCTGAAGTCTAAGTCTCAAGATCATGGGAACAGCATGGTCAAAAGGCACATACGTAAAGTAATCGGGAACTGAGTGAGAGTGAGTGAAACAGCCAGCTGGATGCCACCTCCAGTCATAAGAACATAAGAAAAGCCCTGCTGGATTAGACCAATGGTCCATCTAGTCCAGCATCCTGTCTCACACAATTGCCAACTAGTTCCTCTGGATGGCCAACAACAGGGCATAGAGGCCATTGCCCTGATGTTGCTTCCTGGCTCCGAGATTCAGGGCATTTGAGTCAGATAACAGTACTGAAAGCACCCAAGGTTGCGAGGGAAGATTCATCTTCATAAGAATAGGAAAAATATAAATGCCTCTAACTTGAGTCCAATGGGGACAGTGAAACATCAGATGGTCTAAGGTTTCAATTTCTCCAGAATTGCACAGACAAAGGTGATCTGAGTAGGGTAGGCCTCCAAATCTTCCCAAAGTTACCATCGTTGGAAATGCATTTAAGCGGGCCAGCATAAAGGTGCGGCGGTGAGATGGAATTGGTAGCGTTGAATAAAAAGCTTCTGACAAGTTAATATGACATAGCACATGAACAATGTTCTGCTGATATAATGTCCCAACCCTGGTACTGTCTAATTTCGAGAGCTGCATCTGTCCAAATAGACTCCTTGGAGGAGGCAAATTGTGGACTGAGAATTTGAAAGCTATCCATTGCCCTTCTTCCATCTTCCATGCATGGGTCATCTCTGTATGTACAACAGGTATGCATGTGGAAGGTGTCACCATGTAGGATGCCTCCACAGTATATGGTGTAATACAGACTGAGTATGCATACCCGACGTTCATGCATTTTTATGTACAATGTGTGATGGTTGATGGGACAAAACAGCAGGAAGACGGGACAGGAAAGCAGGAATAATCTTGGTCCCCTCTCTGTTTTACCACCATTTAGGACGTTATTCAATTAAAACGACTTCTCTTTTTTCATTCTACAGGTAGCTCACATCTTGATACTGAGGCATAATGTCTAATCTTTCCTCCACATCTGAATTTCTGCTCCTGGAACTCTCAAATGTCCCAGAACTACAGTTTTTGCACTTCTTTGTGTTCCTCGCAGTATACTTGATTGCAGTAACTGGCAACCTTATAATAATCCTTTCAGTAGTCCTTGATCATCAACTGCACACTCCCATGTACTTTTTCCTTGTGAACTTGGCCATTCTGGACCTTGGCTCAGTTTCCGTAGCAATGCCAAAATCTATGGCCAACTCCCTCTTGCATAGCAGGTCGATTTCTTATTCTGGATGTGTAGCCCAGGTATTCTTTCTCTTCTTCTTTGGAGGTTCAGACTTTGCCATCCTCATGGCAATGTCCTATGACCGCTATGTTGCCATCTGTAAACCACTGCAATATGAAACAATTATGCACAGAGGAGTCTGCATGCAGATGGCAGGAGGTGCATGGATAAGTGGTGTAATTTATGGCATATTGCATACGGCTGGCACTTTTGCCATCACCTTCTGTTCCAATATGGTCAATCAGTTCTTTTGTGAGACCCCACAGTTACTAAAACTTTCCTGCTCTGACCTATACTTAGTTGAAATTGGCCTCCTTATTCTTAGTTTTGTCATAGTGCTTGGATGCTTTATCTTCATGGTTTTAACGTACATGGAGATCATTACAACAGTGCTCAGAATCCCTTCTGTGCACGGTAGGAAAAAAGCCCTCTCCACTTGCCTTCCCCACCTCACTGTGGTGTCTCTGCTTGTTTTCACTGGAATGTTTGCCTATGTGAGGCCTCCCGGTAACACTTCTTCTGAGATGAATGTAATTTGTGCTGTGATTTATGCTATATTACCTCCATTGCTGAATCCATTCATCTATAGCATGAGAAACAAAGAAATCAAGACTGCATTGCTAAAGCTCACTGATTTTGGACATTTTCCCCAAACCAGCTCCAGTAAAATTCTTCTAGTAAAACCAGGCTGAACTGTCTTCTCTAGTTTATTTTATTCATTATTTTTGTACCTATATGGCCAGGGGCCTGCATATCTTCAAGACCACCTCTCCCCTTATGAGCCCCAGAGAACTTTATGACCAGCAAATCAGCACATCAGCACCTTCTGATTGTCCCTGACCCAGGGACATCCATCTTGCTGCAGCTAGGGCCAGGGCTTTTTTGGCCCTGGCCTCTACCTGGTGGAATTAGCTCCCATAGGAGATCAAAGCCCTGCAGGATCTTTTAAAGTTCTGCAGGGCCTGTAAGATGGAGCTCTTCCACCAGGCTTTTAGCTGACGCAGCAGGCGTCTGCAGTCTATTGTGCCTCCCCTCCAGTGGATCAGATGTGTCATCATTCATAACCCAAACTGTAGTAGACCTTACCTCTTGAGGCGCTGGTTCGAAATACAGGAATTAGTAGTAGCTGTATTTTAACTGAAGCATTTTAATTGTTGTGTATTTTAATTGTCACTGTTTGTATATTATTTATGATGGAACCTGCTCTGAGCCTGCTATGCAGGGAGGGTGGGATACTAATCTAATAAAATAAATATAAATAAATACCTTGGGCATGCCCTCTTTGCTTGCCTTCCTTATGTACTGTGTTGTCTCTGCTTATTTCCATTGCAATGTTTGTTTATGTAAGGCCTCCTGCTAACACATCATCTGATCTCAATACTTCTAATATGGACCTCCTGATGGCACCTGGTATTTTTGGCCACTGTGTGACAGAGTGTTGGACTGGATGGGCCTTTGGCCTGATTCAACATTGGCGTCTCTTATGGTCTTATGAGAGAGTCTGGCAAAGCAAGCTACAACACTGCAGCAGAAGTGGAAGAAGTAGCAGGAGGCAGCCAGTTCCAGTGTGGGCCTTATAGAAGTCCTCTGGGGGCTTGATCCAGCCCATGGGATGCATGTTTGACACCCCCACTACCCATCATTCTTTTTTAGTATTTTCAGTCTTGTTTATAAGCACTGCAGTATATAAGAAACATTAATTCTGTCTGCCACACAAAGTGCTTCCTCAGCTTAATTACACATTCTCTGTATCTTTCATTTTTGTTATTGTAGATTTTGCTATACTAGGAAAAAATCCATACAAAATAATTGTTATTGAATAATCATTTCTTGAAGTGAGAAAGGATATTAGGAAAAGAAATATTTAATAATGAGTGGTGTTGGGTTTGGAAAATTAATTTTGGCAGATTGTAAAGTTCCCCAAAAAATATTATTTTGGTTGATAAAAGTTTGAGATGTGAATGTACTAATGTGGTTTTAGACCATATTTTGGGGACTGTGGTAAGATTCAGAAGTTCTGGGGTTCAAAACTGAATTCAATATATAATAATCTCAAGAGACAATATCCCTCAAAATACTTATATGGTTTTTACTATGTTTTCTTAAAAACACAGTCCCTGATGTCGATCTGGAAGAATTAATTTCTGTGTGAATATGCATATCATTTTATTGGAAATGTATACATGTATATATTATATCATAATGGCTGTATAAAATTTGGAATCATATATATATGATTATATATAAAAGCTTGTCATATATATATATATAT